AATATTGCATTTAAAAAATAAAATAAAATAAAACTTAGTCTGCGTGTCCTTAATCTTGGAGAAACGATGAGCGCAACTCCTACCTTCACCGTGGCAAAGCCACGACTGCTAGAGAGGGGAGTCTCAGACGTAGCAGATAATGGCGATAAAGCGATAAGGCACCTAGGATACTGGCTTCACTGTCTATAGAAGTACACAGTAAATATCAACACTATTCACTGTGGTATTAGTCCATTGTTGTTGCTGCTTTGTTGATATCAGCGTTACTAGTTTTTATGTAAAAAAAGTAAACTTTTTCCACTTAAAAAAAGAGAAACTGTGAGAGACGATGTATAACGTGGCAAATCAAATCTAGCGAATGCGCAGAACTGATAATTAAAATTAAGAATTAAAGTTAATTAATAAATAATATAATAAATAAAATTTAAACGTAAACTTATCCCTTGTTATTGATGCTTAATCCTTGGGAGTACTAAAACCATACACGTCTACACTGCACCAAGAATAAACACAAACTCTTTATAAATTTGTGTTTATGTATTTTGTTTTTGCATACTTCTTATTTATTGAATTGTTTTATATTCAGTAATTATTTGGTTTCTTTTTTAAGTTTTCCATTTTTTTATAACAGCAAAACATTTTCTTAGCTTATTGCAATTAATGTTATGTTTAGATAATCGATATTTCATTTGTTCGTTTCATATTTTTCTTCTCCTATACTTTTATATTTTTCTAATAATATGTTGTATTTTTTAATATTCATGTCTGATTATGAACCACATGCTTGGGCTAAAACGTCGGCAAAATCCATAAATATAATTTTTTGACTGCATATCCTGACCATTTTGCAAACTTATATTTCATTTCGTATCTGTTTAAGATATAAATAAATACGTTTCCTTTAATTGATTCATGAGGTATTTACACATATGTTTTTATTACAGATAAATAACTATCCCTACGATATCTTATTTTTTAAGGACCTAATTCATAAATTGAATGATTAACAGAGGTTAATTAGCTAGCAGAATAAACTATATGTTATTTGTACCTACAGCTACCAATATAGTGTTATTTTTTATTTAAAGGTATAATATAACTACTAATCCAGATCGTCTCAATATTTCTCCTATCGTAAAAGATGATGAGGGAATGTACCAGTGTTTTGTTTACAATGAATGGGACATGGCACAAGCTGTGGCAGAACTTCAGTTGGGTGGTAAGTAAATAAGAGTAATGCAAAACAATAAATCACTCTAAAAAATTAAATATTTACATTACAAAAAATTATTAGCTAGATATATTAGGATTGCTGCTGAAAGTAGTTGCTAAAGCGCTCTGATGATTTGAGAACTATTTTTAATTGCATCTGTGAAAAATAAATAAATTAAAACAATCGTGTTTTATGTTTGTAGACCTAAATTTTCCAGTTGTAGCATGAAAAATAGGTTTGAGATGGCCTGACGTTATTTAGAATGGCCTTATTTTTTAATGGTTTAAAAAGTATGTTAAACATGAGAGGTAAATAAGGAACACTGATCTTTGGACGAGCCCTTAATTCTTAAAAGTAGATCTTTCTTCGTTACTCGTATTTAATACATAAGATAAAACTTCATAAATTATGCAACATATGCACCGCGGCACTTCATGCGATAGCCTCAGCCCTCCACTTCAATCACTCCAAACATAATAGTTTTAATATCCGACTCTTTAATTTCATTAGAAGGTTTAAACGACATGTACTCAAAACATTCCGTTTGCAATTTAACACTTTTTTTTTGTATATCTACTGATTCTTAGAAGTAATTTAAATTGTATGTACTTATCAGGAAATGAATCATATTAATACCTGTATCCTACATATAATGAATAGTTGATGGGTTGTTTAGTAAAACTCATATATCACTAATAAAAAAAGTTTTATTTCTTTCGGAAGTTGGACCATATCATATAAAAATAGGAAATTTTAATATTTAATGCATTCTCTATGCACAAATAAAGTTGGAAAGGACGAAGCTATAAATTATTCTAGGTAACCGGAACTGATTGTTAATATTTGGTCTCAAAATGAGGGAAAACGCGAAATTGAGCCCAAAAAATTGGAAAATTAAACTAAGCGAATCAGAAAGGAAGTGTCAAAATCTCGGAAAAGAAAGCGAGGATTAGTATCCATCATATGGCTAAACGAATATATAGTAGCCAGATGAACAGAACATTTCAAGATGCTGCTAAAAGGAGGTCAAATGCAGGAACAGTTTGGATGATATTTAGGGAACGATGCAGGTTTATTATGGTGAAGACCATTTATCCGCAACAAAGATTTGTTCGAAGAAATTGGAAAGTCAGCTATTCTGGACAAAGTAAACCGAACTGCGTCGCGTACATAGGCAACAAATGTATTAGAAAATAATATGAAAGTACTGTAGTTTTATGACTTTACAAGAAAGGAGATACCAGGAAATTAAATAGGCACCGAGATTCATTCCTGTTTAATATACCAAAGAAACTCTACTCAAGAATTGTAGAAGCTAGAATAAGAAATATTGCCGATTGGCAGAGCGATATGGATTGAGAAACTCAAGTTGCACATTTGAACTGTCTTCACTTTAAAGTTTTAAGGCAGGTTATAGAGAAGTCCATCAAGAAAGAAAAAAAAAACATTCTATCTGCTTAGTGCCTCACACTTTAGATTGTTCTAATATCTACTAGTATTAACTCCAAGAAGATTTAAATAGAATATATGACTAAGCAGGAGCTGACAAGCTGAAGGTGAATGATGAAAAGACCAAGGCAATCCTAATAGGCTCCAATCACCTCCTCAAAATTGTTCCTAACATTCCAACCCTGTTCCTTCATGATAATCCCACCAAATTTTCTTTCGGTCATACTAAAAGTACTGGTTTGGCTTGTTGTTATTAGATAGATGATAGATGAAAAGTAAGATATAGGATGTAAAATCCTAGTCCGAATTATTACAATAGTGTACAGCAAAGTATAAACGAAAAGGTGAAAAGCACCTGAAAATTTTATATTTAAGAAGTGTGCTCTGTTATTATTAAGGTTTGGAAAAAAGTCAAATATCGGAGTTGGATAGAGTGGTCTGCTCATGAAAATTACGTTATTAACGCGTCACTCTCGGCTGGCCTGGTAACCTAATAATTACATGTATAATCTTCCTAAATATTTATTTTTCTCAATAGAAACATTATCCAATTAATTAAAAAAATGGAATCAAAAATATGAGTCCAAAGATAGATGACAATAGAGAACAAACAAAAGCATTGGAAAAAGAAATACAGAACCATATATAGGATACCAAAATGCCAAAGAAAGAAATCACGAAATAAAACTCACTATTATTATATTCAGATGGAAAAAGACATGTTTTAGAGGCAAAAATGAAAAGAAATGAAGAATTTATGAAAAATGAGTTCTGAAAAAAAACTTAGTTTTGTGTAATGTTGGAGAAATACTAAATGAGGATTAAGCGAGGATTAATAAAGCTTAGGATAAATCGAGGCTGTTCTTTCGCTCGCATCATGTGACACGCACGACGTGAAACAAACAGTCCCGAAAATGGCCGAAAACATCGCTGGGATGTATCAAAATGTGCGAAATATATGTGATGTATTTCCTATACAAGAGGCTTGTACATATAATGTTATTTAAGTAAAAATAAAATTAATAAACTATGTATAATTATAACGAAAATAAAAATGACCCACCCATTTATGATAAGGTCACAAAAAATTAAAACAAATAACTATATATTGGCTGTAAAATATACCATTAGGCTTTGTTGACTTTTCCTAGGTAGGAATAAACAAAATATAGTCTCTCCACTAACCATTACTTATATATATATATATATATATATATATATATATATATATATATATATATATATATATATATATATATATATATATACATATATATGCTGATGTATTAAAAATCTTATATTTTACACTTTAAGTTTTATATTTCATTTAGATATATCTGAACAATTAATCACTCGAAATGATTTTTCAGATGCTGGTCCTGAACTGACATATTCATTCTCAGAGCAGACAATGCAACCTGGCTCACCCATTTCGTTGAAATGTGTTGCAACTGGAAATCCACTACCCCAATTTACCTGGACACTTGATGGTTTCCCGATTCCGGATTCCAGTCGGTATATAATTTTATTTAATTTTTTTTTTTTTATTTAATATTATTCTTAAAAATATAATAATTAAAATGAAAATTTTGTCATTACAATTATTCATTTGTGGAAATCCTTTTGCTATTATCAACCACTAATAATATATTTATATAATATATACAGGATGTCACCTAAGTAGAGGGATATTTTTATAAGAATGATAGCAGACCTCAAAAGCTACAAAAAAATAATATAAACAATGAAGCTATTTTTAGCAGAAAAATTGCAAATCCAAGTTTTTTAAGTGAGTCATATTTTGTATAGAATCGAAAGGTATAACTAAAGAATTATTTAAGTTAAGTAATTAATAATTGCTTCATTGTAAACAGGGTGAAATTTGATTTACATTAACATACAGTTTATCATTGTTAAAACGATTTACAGAGGATTTTGAGGGGGTAATCTAAGCTAAATTCTATTTTATGAAAAACCATAAATTATTCGCGATTTTTTTATCATCATCCAATTATACTACAGTTTCCCCCACATTTACAAGATTTTTTTCGTTTAATAAACTTTAAGTTTCTATTAATTAAGTTGAGGTTTATTTTATTTTTTTAAAGTTATTTATTGACAAATAATACAAACTCTCTCAAAGGACATTTATAATAGTGTTCTGAGATCACATTCACACTCTATGTACAATAAATAAAATAAATTATACAGAAAAATTATATATATATATGCAATACACAAACAGGCGTGTCTCAGTTAATATTATTGTTTTCGTCTACTTTCGTCTTTTCAAAGCAATAGTGATTTATTTTTATTTTATTTTATTTTTTTAATCAACATGTTTAATTGCAACTTGTGTACGAAAAAAGTAGGCTGTGAAGACAAAACTAAAGTAGTTTGTGTCACATGTCAAAACTTATTTCACGTGAAATGTACAAAAATCAATTTTACAGACTTAGATGACCTAAAAGAGACCAGCAAAAAATGGAGATGTAGCGATTGCGAGTTATCATCGGGTACGTTGCCAGCTGCTGAGTCTAGTAATATACTTGACCTACTGGGAGGTCTGACCGAGGAAGTCAGGGAATTGAAGTCCAAACTTCAAGAGATAGATGAACTCAAGGAGTTAAAGGAAGCCCCACAGAATCAGTCGGAACTCTCATTTGAGAACATGGACCGTTTACTAAAAATAGAAACACTCTTAGAGGACCAAAAAACCCATGTTGAAAATAACAGACTAAAAACAAAAATATCAGAGCTTGAAAGCCGACTAAACTTTACAGAACAATGTCAACTCAAAAATACAATTGAAATAAGAGGCATCCCGGAGAAGCCGGATGAAACTGTAACTGGCACAATTCTTAGCATCGGAGCGGGTCTGGGCGTCAAGCTGAGTCCGGAAGATCTTGATCACGTCGTGAGACTCAAGCCCAAGCAGGAAGGGACACTAGGCCCAATTATTGCAAGATTTGTTAGACAGACGGTGAAAGATGAGTTAGTGCGGCAGCGAAGAACAAAGAGAGATTTCTCCACACGACATCTAGGCTGTGGAGAGAACGACTCGCACCGCGTATATGTAAGTGAAGCCATGACGCCCACCAATAAACACCTCTATTGGTTAGGCTGGCAGAAGAAATTGACTGCAAAAATAAAATATGTGTGGTTCAGTGGAGAAAAAATTCGCTGCAGACAGTCAGATGGATACCCACATGTGATTATAGGAAAACCGAGTGACCTTGACGTATTCAGTTGAACGTTCTTTACAAGTTACCCTGAGTCTGCATTTAATTTTTTTTTTTTTCACCAGAAATATTTTTACTTTATTTTTTTTTGTATCTTCAGCTTTTTTTATTTTTGTATACATTTATTTTCGCCCGAAATATTTTTACTTTATTTTTTTTTACCTTCAGGTTTTTTTATTTTTTTTATATTGAAGCTTTTTTTTATTTTTGTATACATTTATTTTCGCCAGAAATATTTTTAATATATTTTTTTATATTTAGGTATTTTATTTTTATATAAATGTAGCTTTTTAAATTTTTTGTATTCTTATTGAAGCTTTTTTTATTTTTGTATACTTTTATTCTCGACAGAAATATATTGATTTTAATCTTTTTAACCTTTAGCTTTCTTTATTTTTGTATAAATGGTTTACAACTTTTTTTGATTATTTACCAAAATGTATCAATGTATTTAAAACCACAATTTCCTTCAGGAAAATTCTACATCAATGATGCTCAACATTCATATCGCCCACATGAAATTGAAACGAGCAATGTTAAGGCCATTGTTGATCAAAATCCCACCCAATCAATGCGAGAGATTGCTATGGCCCTAAATGTGTCGGAGTCATATGATCAGTCACGTGACCGTCACCATTTTTATTATAACCTTCCTAATTTTTATTATTTATATAACCTTCTTAATGCTTAACTTTTCGGAGTCACGTGATCAGTCGCTAATTTGTTATTGATTAAGAATTTTTAATAACTATTTTATTAAGTACTTATTTCTTATTGTTCTCCCTTACTCATAAACATAGAGTTTATTACTTTAATTCTTAAAACATATCGTCACAATAACTACCTTTGTCTACCTTTAAACATGTTTGATCATGTTGCAGGCATGTTCAACCATGTCTCAGTTATAAGCAAACAATGACTTTAATTCCCATGTCTCTTAATTCTCTTGACTTACTTGGACCTTGGACCTTTAGTCTTTAAATGTAAACAACCTTTTTTATCCTTTCTTATCTAATTATAAACATGGACTTTGATATTATAATACTTAAAACATGTCTATCTACCTGTAAACAGGTTTGATAATGTTTCTGACAGGCTCCATCCAGCACCAATGAAATATTTCTTTGAATGTTTTCAAATACATATCAGAGTTGTCGTGACCGTCATAGATCCTTCTCAAATTAAGTTCGTCATGTCGGAATAGAAAGAAAAGATTTGCGTTTTTTCTGATAAGATTTCTGGTATAACTCTGACTCAAGGATAAAATGTCTACACCATTATGCCGCCCCATGCAAAAGTAGGCTCGAACATTGCCTTGTTTATTACAGGCAATGTCATTGTAAATAAATATGGAATTGACTCGAGCTTCCTTCGGTGGCGGCAAATTTGAGTTGTCTTCGTATTGAAAAAACCCAATGTCATCTAGACGTTCTATTATTCTCGCTAATTGCCTATACTTTGCCTGATATAAAGATTTAGCATATAAGTAAATATTCTCATCTCTCAAAGCTGCCGGATCGTAGATTAAACACAACATGATATTCGTTTTTCCGCTATTTGATATTCCACAAATTAGACATCTGATAGGGTCGGGAAAGAGAGGACCGTGTCTCGATGTTTTTATTCGGGGACAGCTCGTATCTTCAATATTGGAAATTTGGACAGTATGGTGTTGCTTTACGAAACGAATGTTGAACACTAACCAGAAGCTATATACTTCACTCCCCTTTATACTTACTGTGGTGTTTCAAACCTGTTTACTAATTTTAATCATGAAAAATAACTTTTTATTTACATAATATTTTTTTTTTTTTTTTTTTTTTTAAATTTCTTTATTGATTATTATAACAATCTGTCTGTTGGACATTGGTTATAGTGAGGTAGGATGACAACATAATATTTTAAGAAAAAAATTTTTCTTTAAAAATTAATTCTGTTTTTGGACTCATCTTAGTTTTCTAAATAAAATTTAGAATTACACCTTCCCACCACGTCAAGATGTTGGAGAAATTGGTGCATCGCGACGGTTTGCTGACATAATATTGTTGTTAATATTTTTCATAAAACATTTTTTTGGTTTACGGGTAAATCAATACCTCGCCAGTGACCGATACATACATTCCACATAAATTCTTTGGTTTACGTGTTGATTCATAAGGTTCCATTCATTTTGTTTTTTATCAAATTTGTCTATATTAATTTTTTTCTATCTCTTGGAGTTTAATTTCATTAGAATTCAGTTTAGTTTCTAAATTTTTTATTTTCTGAATTAAAATAAAATCTTGACTAGATTTGTTTTAGTTCACATCGGTATCCATAGCAACCGATTCCCCTAATGGAATGTTATGAAAACAAATGTTATCGTCTTTATCAAAACACTCCTTCCTAATATCTTCATCTATAGCTGATCGATTAGGTGATGCGAAAGGTTGTGTTTCTACCTCGGCTCTCGGGATTTGCTTGTTTTTCAGCGTAATTTCTATGATTATTCATTTAAAGCAGGTGAAGGGTACATAAGAACAACTGGTATTTACTGTATACAGTTATAAGTTTTATATTTTTTTCTTTTCTTTTATGCGATATCTCTATCAGGCCATTTGTAGTAGAGCGTCTATTAAGAGAATTCGTATGAGAGGCTCGACATCTCGTTCTTCTCCTGTCATACAAAAGCCTCGTCAATCTCGCCAAACACCTCCAGTGACCCCTATTAGCTATGAAAAACATGAACATCGTCACAAGAGAACTACTCTGACGGAAGAGCAGGTACCGGTAAGTGCTCTTCCATCAGGGTGGTTAGTACGATATGTCAAGTATTGTGGTATTTTGAAGAGCTGTTTAGTGGTTAGTCGAGTTTCAGTAATTAGTAATCAGTAATATTTCTGTCAAGTAATAAAGCAGATAGTTCGTCTGTATCATTCCAAAGGAGAATGGATGTAGATTTATTGAAAGCCATTTAAGAATTTTTGAAAGGTGGGATAAAATGTGATACAAGATTGGTGAGAAGGGATATCAAAGGAGTAACAAGAGATCTGAATTTGGGGAGGAAAGATGTAAGTAACTCGTGAGATCTTTGGTATTTGATGGAGGAGGAATGTGAGGAATTTGGTGTTGATAGAATTGTTGAGGATTAGACGAAATTTAAAGGATGTTGAGGATCTTGAGGTGTATATTGTTGTGGCGGCAGGGTCTTACAATTATTTATTTCATTCTTACCTCCTGGTATTTGTGCAAAAGACACCGTCGGATCTATGATTTTGGAAGGTTGAAGGTTGGTACATTTGAACCGTTGAAGATAAACTAGTAAAATAATATAGATTCTTGATGAAAATTTAATTATTAAAAACATTCTTTACTGTTACTTTATCGTAGAACAAAGGAATCAAGAGTCAGATACAGTAAGATACATGGCTTAAATTTTTTTCTTTTCCAATTAGCGGTAGTTGTGGACGGATATATCGGAAACTAAGCGGGGTAGCGAAAAAAGGTAAATAATCATTCATATTGAAAATTCTATCAGCATTAATTTTGTATAGAACATCTTTGTCAATACGATGGATAGTTTTCCAGATATAAGCGAAAACCCGAAATATAGCAATAAACCTGAGGCAACAATTTTTTTTTTTTTTCAAAATTAGCTATAGTTAACGTTTTTGTCGTTGCGATAGATGGTTTTCATGATATAACTGAAAACCCGAAAAAAGTGACCTTCTAGGCAGCCCCCCCCCCCACATCTCGCTCACCACCTAAGAGTGGGGACTTTTAGTATGTTTACCTCCTTACTGGTCTAAACAATGTACAAAAGTCAACAATTGTGTCCCCTCCATTTCCTTCTATATTTCCTTTCTATATTGGCTGGATTATAGGCAAAACCTCCGCAGATATCGAATAGATCAGATCCAGCTCAAGATTGTTTCTCTGTTCAGCAGCTCCAGGTTCACACGGAATTAGGAAGGAGTTTATTCATTTGTTTTAACATGAATTAATATGCAAAATTAGATGATTGAAGGATTGTAAATATTTTTTGTACCATGTAAAATTTAGTTTTAATTAACAATTATTATTATTCCATTTTAAATATTTCTTTGAGAAATAAGTATTCATTTGTTATTCAGAAGTTTTCTAAATGTCTGTGTATAAAATCATTTTGATCATTATAACAATATCATTAACAATATAATTTTTACCTGCGGTGTGTTTAGGTTCCATTAGTGAAATATAAACTTTTAGTGCTTATTTGTTATCATATTTTCAATAACCTTTTTTTCTTTATTTTTTTTTTAATTTTTTTCTTTCTCATAATTTCATTTATAATCATTTTTTTTTATATATAATCATGTAGGTATATCATTATTATATGGTGTTTTTATAATTTATTTGTAGTTTAAATGTCTAAATTTAAACATATTTCTGTGATATCTCTTGCATTTTTTTAAAAATATCATGACCCTAATTAATCTTATAGACTTAATTACTACCCTCCAATAAGCATAGAGTTGTGTGATTGAGACGATAAACATTATTAGAGTTGAATTACAGTTGACTGTTTTGAAAATGTTCTATGGTAACAAGACTTTGAGTCACAGGTTTTGTTATGGGTGCCGATGATTCTACCCAAGATTTATAATATTCGTCTGGGCTGATGTTAAATTAGAAAAATAAGAGATAAAGTGACTGTGTAGTACAAAAACATAAGTAAATAAATGTCAAGTCAACAAAATAAATAATACCTACATTTTTTATATGTA